AAAACTGAGGAGCCATTTGGGAGCCGAAAGAGCCGGCTCTTTTTAGTGAGCCGAGCCAAAAGAACCGGCTCTCTAAAAAGAGCCGGAATTCCCATCACGAGTCGACTGGAATTGTACGGAGCCCCTAAGGGGACATGGAAGGAAAAAAAAAAAACTTTGCGAGATCTCGCGGCTCCGTAGAATTGCGACATCTCCCGAAGAAAAGTGAAAATGCAGGCAGCTGCCGCGGCATCTTCAATTCTTTTGGTCCAGACTTGTACAGTCAAGTAAAAACAGCAACAACAACTACAATAATAATAATAATAATAATAATAAGAAGAAGAAGAAGAAGAAGAAGAAGAAGAAGAAGAAGAAGAAGAAGAACAACAACAACAACTCTGAATGCCCCAAAAATATCTAATACTGTAACCGCAAAATAGTAGCAGCACACACGAACATTTCAAACGACATCAACCAGCATTCAACTCAACGAAGGCCAACTTTTGAGTTTATTGTCACACACACATAGTTGGCGAGGCATTGCTCTGAGATCCACCCTCGGACATTTCTCTCCGAAAGTCCTTTTACAGGGCCGATTTCACCAGAGGTGAATGTTGGTTTTCATGTTTCAGGTCCCGAAGATTGGGCGTGCTAAGGTGCGCAAGAACAGCACGGGACATTTAAGCTCCAGGTTGCTAGGTGGCGATAATGCACCCATTCAACTCAAATAAGACGACGACGAAAATCGGGATTTGAGCCCAGATCGGAAAGAAAATATATCTGAAAAAAAATGAGTGTGACCGGGTTACTCGCTCGATCCTTTTTTGTCCACAGAGGTGAGTAAATGATATTGGGGTAAGTTGGCACGTCGCATTGGATTTTGTGGCTTTCCACTCTATGTGACTGAATGTGTGTTAATTTCCATGTTTGACCTTAGCTTAGCATTATTGAAGCGTAAACGCTGGCTTGAGGGCAACGTTTCCTTAAATTTAGATTTAACCTGGAAACTGACATAATTGCACAAGGTGAAAACGTCATTAAACATGAATGAATCGAGTACCTCACAGTAGTTCACATCCCATTCTAATTTCAAATCAAATTTTTTTGCAATATTTGGGGCAATGCTACGTTTTCCCTGTCTCCAGACAGATGCCGACATTTTGCGGAGGCTAAGTTATTTATAAAGATCCCCGACTGTGGACATTGCTCGTGCAGTCAGTTTATTATTTATTTATTTCATTCCTTAAAATTAAAGACATGAAAGGAGGCAGGAAGAAGTGGAAAAAAAACAACTCCCTATAACTACCCCTTATCAATACAAAAAGAATGACAACTACATTCAAGGCATATTTACAAACATAATTTTACAGCACAAAACAAAATGAACCACCCCTTTGTAATTTATAATAATAATAATAATATTTATGAATATGAACGAATTATATATAGTCCATTAGAATTCCAAGACATATGTAAAAGTCCAATTACCTAAAAATATATTTGATACTGTTATTTAACAGCAGAAATTATTATTCATAAATATTCAGATGAATATTTATTGAATTGAAGATGCCGCGGCATATGAATATTTATGAATAATAATTTCTGCTGTTAAATAAAGTATCAAATATATTTTTAGATAATTGGACTTTTACATGTCTTGGAATTCTAATGGACTGAGGTGTTTTAATTTGCCAATTAAGATTGTTCCACAAATTGATGCCTTAAATTGAAACGCACCTTACCTTTTACTGTGTTCTATGTCCTGATATTGGGGTAAATACTTTCACTCTTTTCAAATTTGTTTTGCAAACTATTTGGTAAAACTTGGTGATGAGCTTTTTGTATAACTTTCAGGAGGTTATATTCCACCAATTCATTGAATTCAGTGACAAATTGAGAATTAGAAATTGAACATCATGTGCAGGCTCATTCATTCAAGTGATTCACTACACAACTTTTGACGGCCTGTGTTTGAGTCATAGTTTTGCTATTCAGTATGTACGTACTTATGAGGCACAAAGTATTAATTTTGAGGTGACAGTGATACAAAACCACATATTTCAATCTTTTATTTATATATACAGTGATACCTCAGTTTACGAACATAATTGGTTCCGAGAAAGTGTGTGTAAGGCGAAAAGTTCTTATTCCGAACATTTATTTCCCATAAGAAACCATTAAAATGAGAATAATCCGTTCCTAGGTCCACATAAAAAATAATTTTCTACTAAATAAGCCTTAAAACTGCACAAAAATATACCTTATTTTATGTATAATGAATGTGCAATTGTATTGTAATTAAAGAAACACTGTACACTGTACTGTATAATAAAGTCATTTTATTTTCCTTTGTGATGGTATTTAATGGGTTAATGGATGACGAACTTCCAGGGTGCCTCTTGATGATATCCGAGTGAAGTTGCCGTGCTTTCTCGGCGATAATACCCTCACTCACACTGTCCCCTGCTAGCTGCTTTTCATTTATCCAAATTAACAGAAGTTTTTCAACCTCTTCTATTGCCTGAGACCGT